AGACCTAAAACGGGACTTTAATTTAGAGAACTACCCAAAGGCCCCATAAAACTCTTACGGGAACACTCCAAGGGTTCCTTTCTTGCCATCGTGAACTGCTAAAGCCCTAAAGCCTTAAAGTCCTAAAGCCCTAAACCCTAATCCCTAAAGTCCTAAATCCTAAACCCTACGCCTTATAAGCCCAAAACCCTTAAGCCCTAAACCCTAAACCCGTAAGCCCTAAGCTGCCAAAGCTGTATCAAGGAGCCCTCGTAGGAGCCCCGCAAATGGGAACTCTTTATCATCGAAGGAGCCCACCCTAAAGGTTGGAGACTGCCCACACTCAGTAACAGTTGGGTAATATTCATAATATGGCTAGTTCTCCAAATTAGGGTGCCTTTCGGGGGTCCGTTTTATAAGGGTCCCGTACTATATTGGGGACCAAAAAAGGGACCCTAATTTAGAGAACTAACCATATAGGGATATATAAGGCCCTTAATCGTAGCTCCATTATAGACTGCTACTGTATGGGGGCAGTACCCAACCTAAAGCCCTAAACCCTAAACCGAAAGGCTCGAATTTCCGGCCCATGAGTGCTTTTAGGAGGCCTCAAAGGATCATTGAAGGGAAGCTTCAAAGGAACCTTCAGAAGAACCGTCAAAGGAGAACCCCCCAAGAGAGCCCTTTAAAAGACGATTCGAAGGCCATCGTCAAGTCTTTGATGTCCAAGGAGATGGATAAGGCTGGGTGTAAGGGGCTAGAAGCGGAACTCTAGCATTTCTCCTGGGGTTCTACAAGCTTTCTAGAAGGGTCCGAGGGTTTTAGGCATTCAAAAAGAACCGTTCACCAACACCCTAATCATACCAGGGTTCCATGAAACCCTAAACCCTAAACCCTAAACCCCTAAACCCTAAACCCTTTCAAAGGAACCCTTGAGGTTCCTTTACAGGAGCCCTTCGGGGGCATTCTCAGGGCGTTCTGCTAACGTTCTGAACGGGTTTCGGGTTTTGGAGTTTGGGGTCTAGAGGATTTAGGAACCCGAAACCCTGAACCCAGGATTAGGGTCTAGGGTCTAGGATCTAGGGTTGAGGGCTTTAGGGTTTAGGGTTTAGGGGTTTAGGGTTTAGGGTTTAGGGGTTTAGGGTTGAGGGTTTAGGGTTTAGGGTTTAGGGTTGAGGGCTTTAGGTTGAGGGTGAAGGGCTTGGGGGCTTAGTTTTCAGGGCCTCCTCTATGAGGATGCGGGGTTTAGGGCTTGATGACTTGCTACGGCTTTGCAGGGTTTCGGGGCTTTGGGTTTGGGGATTCGGATGTAGAAATAGAGACACATAAGGTTCCGTTCTAAGCTTTTAGAGGCTTGTTCTAGGAATTTCCGTTTTCTTTTAAAGGATTTCACGTGCAAGCTCCCGGGTTCCGGGTATCTTTAAGGGCTTTAGTAGCATTTTTTCTGTGGTTTTATGGCCATTACCCATAGGCCCCTTACTAGTTCCTTTTTATGGTTTACATTTAGAATCCTACAAGGTAATCCCAAAAAGGGACTACTTAGGGGCCTATGGGTCGATTTTGGGATGAATCAGCTTTGAGGCTTCGCACTTCGCATTTAGGTTTTCGGGCCGTTTGTTTGCTTTTGAGGCCTTAGAATCCTCGCCGGGTTGAAAGGGTTCTTACAGAGTTTAGGTTTTAGGGTCTAGGGCAGACCATGCAGGGGGAGCCTCCTCCCCAAACTATTACAGGGCTTACATTAGAGTAAGGTGGGAGCCTTGTCCGGGACGCGACTCCCACTGTGGTGCAATGCATACCCTAAAAACCAAGAGCGAAGTCCTACCAGGACCTATACAGCTCAAAGGACCCCATCTGTTTCTTCCTGTTAGTTTACGTCTTTTTCTAACACCTTCCCCCCCATTCGCGCCGATCACACCCATCTTCCTGGGCGATACGTGCGTATCGCCATTGTGGCTGCTCCGTTGCCACCTTCTCCTGGCTCAAAAGCCAGAGAGAAGGAGGCGAGGACAAGAGTCCTCTCCGCACGGTTTAGGGTTTAAGGTTTAGGGTTTAGGGTTTAGGATCCCCGCCCGCAGGATCCGGAACTCCCTCTCCTGAGGAAGCCGCACGGCAACAAAGGGAAGGGGTCAAAGGGTGGCAAAGCCACCCCTGTCCAGGCCGCAAAGGGAACCTCCTCGCAAACGTCCACCCGGAGATCATGAATCTGTTGACGTGGGTCGAGGCGGAGCTCTGGGACGACTACATCGACAGGTTGGAGGAGCAGACAGGCTGGGAAAGTGAAAAAAGTGCAAAGTGCCAGGGAGCAACCCAACATGCCAATGGAAGACGGCCAGCGCTGGAGGGTGCAAGCGCGTCGCATGCTTGACCCCACGGCCAGAACTACAACATCCATAGGAGACGAAGAGTTCAGCGTTTAGGCTGTAGGGGTTTGGGTTTAGGATTCATGCTTGAGGTCCCTAGTTTTAACTTCTAACCTGTGAGACGAGTCTAGACCCTGAGCCTTCTTTGCATGCGCGAGTTGCTGGAAGCCTTGCGAGGGATGGCTCGAAGTTTCTGGAAACTCCCTAAACCCTAGGCCCTAAACCCTAAACCCTATAGGCCCTAAACCCTATAGGCCCTAAAACCTAAACCCGAAACCCCTAAACTCAAGAGGGCTTAGGCTTCAGGGTTTATCCCGAAAGCCCGAAGGATTCCGGATACGATTTCTTAGGGTTGTGCGTTGTTGGTGTGGGAGTGGGAGGAGGGAGACCACACCCAACACGCCGCCAGGGTCGGCGTATAACCTCTTATTTTTGTAAGATTTGGGGATGCTCAGTGCTAAAGCCTGAACCCTAAACCCTAAATTTTAGGGTTTAGGCTTAGGCTTTATAGGGTTTAGGGTTTAAGCCCCGTCCAGGTTGTTGCCTGGACCACCTCCATGACAGACCGCACCCTGAGGGGCCTCGTGAACGAGCTGAGCGAGAGGCCGCGGGCCAGGGTTTAGGCTTAGGTCATCAACAGTATGGGTGCTTCTAAGCCCTGTGAACCCGTTTTTAAGAGAGAGCCCCACCCCATACTTTAGAGTCCTTTGCACAACTGCAGGGGAGAGGTCTCAATACCTAGCAAGAACCACTCTTTCTAGTCACTGGATTACTATGTTAGTCGATCTGTTGAGGCATGTATATTCAACCCCTACACCCCTAAGCCCTAAACCCCTAACCCCTACACCCTAAACCCTAAAAACACCCCAACACACACCTTGTCAAGCTCCATGAGCCCGTCGGGAACGTTCGTAGGGGTTTTGAGGGTTTGATGTGAACCATAAACCCTAAGCCGCGCGGCTTGCGGGGTTCCTAAAATCATGGTTTTGCAAAGCCACTTGGAAAACTTCAAGACAACCCTATAAAACATTTAAAAACACCAGTATGGTAGCCCTGAAGGGGCCCTCCTCAAGGAACCCTTCAAACGGAACCTTCAAAAAAACGCAGCAGTATAAGAGCCCATATAGAACTTAGAAGCCATCTAAACCACCTGAAACCTTGGGCGCGCCCTACAAAATCCTGCGCAACCCTAAACCCTAGGCCCTAAACCCTCAATCCTAAATCCTATAAGCCCTTCAAAACCCCACAGCACCCTATGAATACCTGTAGACCCCGGTACTCTATACAACCCTAAACCCTATACAACCCCCTTAAAGGAGCCCGGTCGGGTCTTCGCAAAGGTTCTTCGCGTTGCAGCGCCAGCTGCTGCAGAGACGCGAGCAGCTCAAGGAAGCGCTCTCTTGCTTTTATGAGTGCAAAGGTTTAGGGGCTTAAGGTGAGTGCAAGGGTTTAGGGTTTAAGGTTTAGGATTTAAGGTTTAGGGTTAATGGATTGGGGCAGCAATAGCAGGCATCTTAGGAACCGTGCGAGCAGCAATATCGAAGAAGCAAGACAGCACCACTGCTACCAGTAGCGAGCATACTGATTTCTGGCATAGTAGCACCGATAGAAGCAGTAACGATGTTCGTTTTACTCAAAAGAAAATCAGTTTACTCGCACCCCTAAGCCTTTCTCAAAGACCTAAGGACCTCTTAAACGGCCAAAAAACTGAGCGCAAGACATTGCATTTGACCCTCAGCTATAAACCCTTAACCCAGCTCTACACCACAAACCTTCCTCCCAAGCACACCCAAAAACAAACCCTGACCCTCAGCTATGCTGATCCCTACGGCAAACTCGAGCCTGAGTCCTTGCACAAACCGTCCCACTATCCGTGGATCTCGCAGCCCGGTGCGCCACTGGCTCTGAAGGAAGTAGATCCGTTTAGCAGCAGGGCTGGGGCGTAGGGATGAAGGCTGAGGTTTTAGGGGTATCTTCGTTTGAGTGTAGCACAGGGGTGTGAGTAAGTAGTGGAAAGATTCCCTGAGAGTCCCTGGAAGATAGATGTTGACAGAATGCAAGCTTAAATCTCTGGTTCAGACCCCTGCACCCTTAGATGGGGTCCCTGGGCAATTAGGGTTTAGGGTTTGTAATAGAATAGCGGCGGGGGATTAATGGAGGATGATGTCTCCAAGTGCTCAGATCGTGAAATCAGCCACTCTGCTCCCCACCGTCCCCACAAGGCTTATTCAGGGTTCTCTAAATTAGGGTTCCTACCGAAGGGGTTTGTGCTGACTCTATATTGCTTTTCCAGCGTATGATTGAGACCATGTGAACCAGGGCCGTAATGAGGCCCCTTTGTAAAAGTGGCGCCTTATCTTGGGGATCCAATCGGGCCTTCTCGACCCTAATTAAACCCTAAACCATACACCCTAAACCTTAAACCCTAAACCCCAAACTAAACCCTAAACCGTAGAGAAGCAATCTCGTACAGAAGCCTCAGTAATTAGTACTGTTGCTCCTGAGGTTCTCAGGGCTCCTAGTTAATTCTACTAAACTCGTTAGGCCCCCTATCTGGATCCCTATAGCACCCCTTAAGGTTTAGGGTTTAGGGCCAGTTAAGGGCTTAGCTGTTTAAAGTAGGCCCCTAGATCAGCCTTGCTGCTTTATCCTAGGGCTACCATGGCCAAGCTTGGCAAGAGCCTTGCCCCGGGCCGAGAGCGACCCTCCGAAATCCCAGCTTTGAAAGTGGACCCGGCAAAGGTCACCGACATCTTCTTCGACTTCGATGGCACTTTGACCGCTTCAAACAAAGAGGGGGTTTCTGGATATGTTCTGCCCTTGCTGGAAAGATGTGTGGGGCTTCGCATTTCCGATTGCATTGAGGGCCCTAGCAGTGGCCGCGACATACTAACCTGGAAGGAGTTGGACCTTCGCATGGCGGCTGCCGTGCCAGAAGCAATTTCAGGCGTTTCCGGCGAAACATCAGTGCTTGGCAGCCTGGCAGTGCGTCAGCACCTCGAAAGCTCCCTGAAGCTGCTGGTTTCTTGCGGAATTCGACTGCACCTGCTGACTATGGGCACACCGCAGACGTCGAAGGCATTGCTTGGTGCAGCTGGTTACGACCTGAGTCTGTTCTCCAGCTTTTTGGGGCCCTTTGACATGGCAAAGAACCAATCACTCCGAAACCTCTTTGATAATGGCGACATGGACGGGCAGGAAGCAGCTGAAAGCTTCCAGTTCGACGTCCAGGAAGACATCGACGCTTTGCATCACTTGCAGCGAACAGGAGATGAGACTCCGAAAGCCTTACCCCTAAGCTAACCCTTAAGCTCTATGCCTAAACCCTAAACCCTAAACCCCTAACCTAACCCCTAAACCCCTAAACCCCTAAACCCTACACCCTAAGCCCTAAACCTAAACCCTAAACGTAAACCTAAACCCTAAACCCTAAACGTAAACCTAAACCCTAAACCCTAAACGTAAACCTAAACCCTAAACCCTAAACCCCAAACTCTAAACCCCCAAGCTTAGAAACAGGAGATCAGAATCCCACGCTTCAGCGCATCATGAGCATGGAGAAAAGGCTTTCCAAAGCGGCGCTCATTCACTCCTTGGCGGGCGAGGTCGGGTTTAGGGTTTAGGGGCTTAGGGTTATAGGGTTTAGGGTTTATAGGGTTTATAGGGTTTAGGGTTTAGGGTTTAGGGTTTAGGGTTTAGGGTTTAGGGTTTAGGGTTTAAAGTTGAGGGGTTTAGGGTTTAGGGGTTTAGGGTTTAGGGTAAAAAAGGTTTGGGACTCCCTGGCCGGCGAGGGCGGTCTTCTTGTGGATGACAACTACGCAAAGAACATCTTCGATGCACACAGCAAAGATGCTTGCTGGCATGCCGTGATCCTTTTAGGGTTTAGGGTTTAGTGTTTTTGGGGTTTGGGGTCCCGTTTTGGGTCTTCCAGACGTACCTGTTCATAGCTATTTTTTGGGGGACCCGTAAACTGTGATGATGACAATGGCAGGGCTGCGCAGAACCCTAAACCCCACTATCCGACACGCATAAGCCATACTCTGGGTTCTTGTTAAGGGATTTACTTTTGAGTTACCATAATAAGGAAGCCATATTATAAACTATAGATCCCCAATTATGGTAACTTAAACTAACTCCCTTAGTAAGAACTCAGTCCCAGTACCCTGTGCAACCCAGGATGTCATGTATCTTCTCGTGGATCCTGAAGGTGTTCTGAACACGAGCTCTGCCGTCCAAGACTTGGCAGAGCTGCTTGCTGCAAAAGTGGGAAACCAATCCTTCCCCTTGCTACTCTGCACAAGAATTCAGTCCAAGCCGCAAAGCCCTAAACAAACCCCGGACCCTAACCCTAAACCCCAAACCCCAACCCTGAATCTCAAAATCCCCAAACCCCAAACCCCAACCCTGAACCCCAAAATCCCCAAACTCTAAACCCTAAACCCTAAACCGCAAACCCTCAACTTCAAACTCGGCGGTCCTGCCTGAAATCCAAACACCGGAGCCCTCCCACCCCCAGGCCCCAGGCCCGCACCCAGCCTTGAAACTCCAGTCTTTAGATCAAGCCCCCCCCCCAGTGTTGATGATATAAATCCTGCATTACCTTAAGGAACCTAAACTATGGGAATTATGGTATATTGGGTAGTGCAGGATTTATATCATCAACCGTAGTAGTAGGGTTTAGGGGATTTTGAAGGGGTCTATAAGGGTTCTAGATAAGGGCTCTGTAGGGGTGTCTCTAGACAGGGCACCAGAGCAAAATCTAGGTTCTCCAGTAGTGCCCCTTTGCATTTTGTTCTTATGGGGTTCCCTGATTAAAGCCAAATAGTGGGAAAATGGGTACCTTTTTCACGAAGGCTACTGGAAAACCTAGAAAGCCAGGTGTTTAGGGGTTTGGGGGAACCTCAGGGCGATATATAGGGGGCCTGGCTACTTTAGTGCTCTTGGGAACTACATTGTTAAAACTGATCGTTTATTATGGTTCTAAGGGCGTTCAAGGAATAATTCGTAGTAGAAGGGTTTCCCTGTTGTACCTAGGCTAGGGTAAGCTTCAAAACCCAGTTCAACTTCTCAGGGACTCCAAGGCCGCTACAGACAACACCCGATAAAAATTTCAGAACACCATGTAAGCGCCTGTAAAATAGTTAACCCGGCCCGAAACCCCAAACCCTAAGCCCGTAAACCACTAAATCCTAGACCGTACACCCCTAATTATGGCCTCTATATTCAACGCAGGAGCAGCAGCGAACGAAGGGGCTGGCGATGTTCGACCTCCGTGAAGACTGCACCACGAAGGCCTGTTCCGGTGTCTTGGGGTGCGTGGGTTTAAGTTTGGTGTAATTGTGACCTTACACGGTAACTACTATTAACTTGTACTGATTCGCACTATGCAGAACGAATGCTCATTCATACTGACTAGTATTCACTACTATAGTTAGAACTAGTTAACACTAATGAATGCTAACTAGCACTGATTAATACTAGTGTCAACAACAACAATACTAACTACGATAATGAAACAACAAACAATAGTAGCAACAGTAATAATAACAGCAAGAGGAAGAGTAATAGTACTGGTACTGGTACTAGTACTAGTGTACTACTAGTAGTACTAGTCCTAGTCACCTAGTCCTTTAGTCCGAGTCCTAGTCCAGCCCCCCAAGCGTACAGACACAGTGCGCGCGCGTGCGCAGATAGATGCGTGCACAAAAGACAGAAAGATGACAGTTTGACGCGAAGCAACGAGCCGCTGCATAGCTCTGCGTGCGACAGTTCGCCAAGTTGAGGTAGGTGTATGGACTTGCTTATAGGAGCATGTAGGGCTTGCAGGGATCGCAGGTGTTCTTGCACTGGCCTCTGGAACCTGTTTCTTTCGGTCCTTCCCAGCCTTCCACCAAAATGCAGGAGGCAGTCCCCAAACCTTGGGCCAACCTGCTCTCGCAGGCTCGCTTCCGCACAGTGTACGTGCCGGTCAGACGCGAGCGCCAATCAAACACCTCGGCCGACCTTGCTCGGTGGTGGCTGGAGGAGCAAGAGATGGGTCAGGAGGCCACAATGAGGAGGCTGGCACAAGACCGCCAAGAGGAGATGCGCCGCCGACAGGAGGCTTCGCAGGCCGTGTCCCAGGTCTTTCGCCATGGACTCGGCAAAGACTCACCCTGGATGAGGTGGATCGCAAGGATCCAGGGTATTTGTGTGCTCTGGTCCAGCAGAGTGCCGTCCAACAACAACAACAACAGCAATAAGAATAGGAACATCAATAGCGATAGCAGCACTATTAACCTTAACAATAGCAGTAACCAAAATACTAAGGGATTAGGGCGTAACCGTAAGCCTAAACTCCTCAAGCCCCAAAGCACCCCTTAAACTCAACACTTAGCACGGCATCCTACAACTCCAAACCAAACCGCCGAGCCCCCAAACCCTAAGCCCTAAACCGTAGAGAGCGAGCTGTCACGACTGCTCCTGCTCCTCCCAGCCTCGACTTCCAGCCCCAATCGCAAATCAACCCCGAATCCCTAAACCCTAAACCCTGAACCCTAAACCCTAAACCCTGAACCCTAAACCCTAAAACCGATCCCTAAACCCTAAAACCTATCCCTAAAACCTATCCCTAAACCCTAAACCCTAAGCCCAGTTCTGGAATCTTACTTTTCGGGCTTAGGGCATTTGGAGGCTCCGGGGTTGGGGCTTTCTCTGCCTCGAAAGGAGCCTTCTTTGCAGAGGTTACTAGCAAGGGTCGTTTCTGGGTTCTGGGGTTTGGGTTTAGGGTTTAGGGTTTAGGGTTTAGGGTTTAGGGTTTAGGGTTTAGGGTTTAGGGTTTAGGGTTTAGGGTTTAGGTTGTGGGGTCAAGATTCGAGAGTTTGAGAAAACACAGAGAGCTGAATCTTAGACTTGGGGGGCCAGTAGGCCCTACAACCTTGACTTTAAAATCATTTCCATGAACTTTTTAAACAATGCACGGTTCTATTTCTTAAGGCCCCGCTTCCAAGTCCCTATGTCCCTTTCTCCTGAAACACTGGAAGAACTTTAAAAGGTACCCTAAGAAACAACCAATGGCGGACCTATGAAGTATGATAAAGCCTATTAAAGGCCCTCAAGAACCGTAAAATCGCACTCAGACGGGTATGGAGACTACAACCTCTAACACAAAGTCCTATCTTCACCTTAGCCCATAGAATGCTGGCTACCTCCTCCCAGGTTGTCTTTTCGGATCCTTGGCAAACCCTAGGCCCCAAAACCCTAAACCCTAAAACTCAAAACCTAAAGCCCCAAACCTTACAATTAAGCCCCAAACCCTAAACCTGAACCCCCAAACCCTGAACCCTAAACCCTAAACAATAAGCCCTAAACTCTATAAACCCTATAAACCCTAAACCCTAAGCACCCTTAAGCCTTCAAAGGACTTGGAGACCGCCTATCGCCGCCTGGCCCGCTCCATGCACCCGGACAAGAACGGTGGCACCGAGGCCTGGGATGCTTGGGCTTTAGGGTTTAGGGTTTAGGGTTTAGGGTTTGGGGTTTGGGGTTTAGGGTTTAGGGTTTAGGGTTTAGGGTTTAAAGCTAACCCAAAGGGTCCATGTAGGTTGTGGAACGAAAAGTACCCTAAGCCCGTCCTTACTATGGTGTTGGGGACCTAGTTCCATAATTCCGGTATATGTGGTCCCCCACGCCTCCCCCTGTGGTTCCCTGTGGTGTGGTTTCCCCCTCTGTCCCTCCCTCGAAGATGGTGATCGCGATCCGCCGACGCTCCTCCGGCCCCTTGCGCTAGAGTCCGGAATGAAAGTCAATCAAGCACATGCTCGGGCTGTTTGGGGGGCCACTGACGCGGCGACGCGGGACCGTATTGGTAAAAAATATTGGGGCCGAGAAAGGGAACTATAGGGGATCAAAAAGTCAACAAGGCGTGTGTAATGGTTTAGGGTTTCGGGTTTAGGGGCTTTAAAATTAGTGACATTGATCCTTAGACTTCTCCAGTATCTTTATGCGATAGTATGGCACCCCTGCATCCGATGATTTTGGTTGCACTTTGAGGGGGTAGGGTTTTTGGGGGTTTAGGGTTTAGCAGGTTGTGTAGCACAAGGGTTTACCGGTACAGTCTAGGACGTTTTCAGGTGGGTAGTTACCGTTATAGGAGCCTTCTGGAAGGTCTATATACCTTATAGAAGCCTTGTAGAAGCCCTTTATACCCTAAACTCCCCACCTGTAGTTTCCTTTAATAGAGTTTAGGGCTAGGGTGTTGCAGGGTCTCGAGGCTCTTCGGTTTTAGGTTTTGGGGTCTGGGTGAGCATTTCATACTTACTCGTGCCGAAGCGGGGGTGCGGTTGGGCTGGATCCCAAAGAGGCCTCAAGTAATCCTTTAAATTTTTGGTTTATGGATTAGGGTTTAGGGTGTAGGGTTTTATGGTGGCCTTATACTTATGATTAGGATGATTAGGGTTTAGGGTTTAGGGTTTTACGGTGGTCTCACACTCTGTGCTTCACGGTGCCTTTGAGTATCAGGCGCTTGTGGGGCATCTGTAGGGCCGGATATGATCCCAAAACCCAAAACCCTGATCCCTGAACCCTACCTTAAGGACGAAATGAACCCTAAAAGGGTATTAAGGTTCATATACCATATAGGAACTCATAGTATAAGGGTATAGGGCCCCTACTTTTAAGGGTCATTTCGTTCTTAAGGTAACCCTAAGCCCTAAGCCCTGAACCCCAAACCCTGAACCGCAGAGTTGAGTTGTTGTTGTGAGCTTCGTGGTTTGTGCTACGAAGGGCTGGCTGATAGGGTTTAGGGTTTAGGGAAAGGGGTGTGACAGTGTGACAAAAGTTGCAGGGATTTGCATACGATTTTTTGGCATATAGGGCCCAGGAGTTTTGTGGCATGTCTTACGTTTCTATATATTGTATCTTGCCAATATATATATATATGTTTATGTATATATTATTTATTTATTTATTTATTTATTATTATTATATATGCATGTATACTGTATGCATACTTGTTTGCCTACAAGTTTACTCATTTGTTTGATTTTGTTTTGCTGCATTCCTAGCTTCCCTACACATTGACATCCTAAGGCTATAGCCCTAGACCCTAAACCCTAAACCCTAAACCCTAAGCCCTAAACCCTAAACCTCAAGACGCTAAATTACCCCAAGCACTGCACCCTAGCCCCAGCGCCGACAGTCCTAATTTGCCTTTACTGGGTCCTTGTCGGCTACAAGTTTACATTTTTGTTATAGTAAAACCCAACAAGGATGAAACTAAACCCTAAACCCTGAACCCCTAAACCCTAAACCCGAAACCCTAAACCCTAAACCCTAGACCCTACATGACAATTTTTCATATAGCCCCACAGGGAACCAGTTTCGTGACTTTCTCTGGTGTGCCGCAACCTTTCAGGCGCCTGAGTCGAGGGTCTAGGGTTTTAGGTCTACCC